CAGTGGATGAGAAAATAGAGGAGGTCGAGTCGAGGTTGCAGACGATTGAAGGGAAATTGGATGACCGCCCTTGGTCGAGTAGTAGCAAAGGCAGTTAACCGGGCCATGGCCGACACCCAGAAGGCCATAACCGACCACTTCACGACGTTGTTTGAGGCGGAAAGGAAGCGGCAGAAGGAGGACAGGGTAAGGCTCGAAGGAAGAATCGACCGTTTCCGGAACGATCAAGAGGTTTAGGCGGCGATGGTAGCGAGAGACGATGAGAAGTTCAAGGAAGAAGTGAGGGCCGCAATGGCAAAGATTCCTACACCCCGACCACCACCTGTCGTCCTAATAGAGGGAGACAACAACCAAATTCACGGAGAAAATGAAGTGCGAACGCCAGTGGGAGGCGGGTTCGGTATGCCGGAATGGAGGAGAAGGGATCCACGAGGGTGGCCGGAGGAAGGCGGTGGCGACGGTGGCCGATGGAAGCACAAAAGGCTTGGCATGCCGGTGTTTGAGGGAAAGATCCGGATAATTGGGTTATGAGGGCCAAGATGTACTTTGATTTTTATCAACTTTCTGATGAAGATCGAGTTACCGCGGCGGTGATGGCGATGGACAGCCCGACCTTGCAATGGTATCATTGGGAAAACCGGCAACGTCGCTTCGCAAATTGGACAGATTTATGCTGCCGTGTGTTGTAGGAGTTTGACCAACTAACTCCAGAACACTTCAGGAGCAATGGTTGGCTGTAACTCAGACGGCGACTGTGGAGGAGTATGGGAGAAAACTTATCAAGTTGGCTTTCCCTCTTGATGATATACCAAAGGAGATAATGAGAGGCCAATTCATTAATGGCCTAAAAGATGAGATCAATGCCTAACTTTAACCAGGGCCTTTGAAGCACTCAAGGGGCCATGGTAAAGGCACCCGTTCTTGCCATGCCCGACTTCACCAAAGAGTTCGTTGTGGAAACCGATGCTTCCGGGTTTGGAGTTGGAGCGGTAATGATGCAAGGTGGGAGGCCAATAGCCTACTTTAGCAAGTTGTTGGGAGTGAGGGCAAGGGAAAAAATGATTTATGAGAAGGAGCTTATGGCCATATGCTTAGCAATTATGAGGTGGAAGCACTACCTCCTTGGAAGGCACTTTGTGGTGAGGACCGATCAACAAAGTCACCGCTACATCACCCAACAATGAGAGGTGGGAAGGGAGTATCAAAAATGGATGAGAAAATTAGTGGGATTTGATTTTGAGGTGCAATATCGACCGGGGGCATCAAATCGGGTTGTCAATGCTCTATCTCGTATGGATCAAAGGAAGAGTGCAATTGAGTGTAATGAGTCACTCTCAATGCGTGAACTGGAAAGAATTAGAAGAGGAGATTGAAACTGATGAATGGCTAGCCTAAATCTGCGTGGGCCTTAAGAAAGGAGAAGAAAGCCCAGTAGGCTTTCACTTAAAAGGCCAAAGAGTCATGTTCAAGGGAAGGATCGTTTTGCCTAAGTCTTCCAAGTTTATCCAGACCTTGCTCCATGAATACCATGATACTCCAACCGACGGCCATGACGGAGAGGTCAAAACTTACCTCCGCCTCGTCGCTGACTAGTTTTGGGTCAGGATGCGACGGGCAGTGGGTGATTATGTCCGAAAGTGCGATGTTTGCCAACAAAATAAGGCGATTCAGAGAAGTCCTCTAGGGTTATTACAACCTTTACCGATTCCAACGGCCATTTGGGAAGATATTTCCATGGATTTCGTGGAGGGGTTACCGGTGTCCAAGGGGATTGATTCGGTGTTAGTCGTGGTGGACCTATTGTCAAAGTATAGCCATTTCATAGGGCTGAAGCACCCATTTAACGCCCTCAAGGTGGCTGATTACTTCATCCGAGAAGTCGTGCGATTGCACGGATTTCCCTCCACCATTGTCTCTGATCGAGATAGGGTCTTTATGAGCATTTTCTAGCGAGAACTCTTCCAATTGCAGGGAGTTCACCTGAAAAGAAGCACGACATATCTTCCAAACAGAAATCGTGAACAAGGGTTTGGAGACTTACCTTTGGTGCTTCATCGCCAACTAGCCCAAGAGGTGGGCACATTGGTTACATTGGCAGAGTATGCCTACAATACCTCGCCCCACACATCCACCAAGCTAACACCTTTTAAGGTGGTGTATGGGCGGGACCCTCTGAAGCTCTGGCGAATTGAAAGTGGGAAAACTCTAGTGGATCAACTGGAAGAGATGTTGAAGGAGAGAGATGAAATCAATTGGAAGAGATGTTGAAGGAGAGGGATGAGATGTTAGATGAGTTGAGGGTTAACCTGTTGAAAGCCCAACAAGTCATGAAAGAGTATGCACACAAGAAGCGGCGTGATAAGCAATTCGAGGTGAGAGAGGATGTGTTCTTGAAACTCCAGCCATACCGCCAGAAATCTCTGGCCAATCGTCCTAATGAAAAGTTAGGGGCGCGTTTCTATGGGCCATTTTGCGTGGTCAAGAAGGTGGGTAAGGTGGCATACCGGTTGGATCTTCCCCCTACTTGCAAGATCCACTCGATTTTCCACATTTCGCAACTCAGGCGCGCTATTGGGTCGGCTCCGGTGAATACAACAATTCCGGCGCAATTGAAGGCTATTATGGAGTTGGTGGTGGAACCCAGAGAGGTGTTGGAAGTACGACAGTGAGCAGCAGGGCGAGGCACTAAAACTGAAGTGTTGATTAAGTGGCAACGCTTGCCCCACTTCGAAGCAACATGGGAGGATGGCGCCACCATAGCGGGGCATTTTCCGACATTCCACCTTGAGGACAAGGACAATCTCGAGGCGACGGGTAATGTGATGGATCCGAAATTGGGCTAGCCCATTAAGGTTTCTCATTGTAGGGCCAAGATAGGTCACATTGACCAAGTGGGTCAAGTTCACAAGCAAATCAAATTCAACTGTAACCAAGGGGGAAATACAGAAGCTGGGACAGAAGTGGAGAAACAAGAAAGGCAGTAGCCTTTGTCAAGAAAGCCATTTCAGGAAAGAGAAGCTTGAAAAGGAGGAGACACTACTTTGGTAACCATGGCAAAAAGATTGTTGTTCCCAGTCTTAGAGGTCAACCTTAATTAGCTTTAGGGCATGCTTAGTGCTTGAGTATAAAATGTAATGAATGTTGTAGTAGCCACTTATCCAGAAAATTTGAGTGAACTCATTAGAGATTTGTAGCCTAAAGCTACTCTTGAGATTGATAGCCTAAAGCTATTATTTATCCTTGTAATTATTCTTGCTTTCGAATTAATTAATCAAAGACTCAAGCTTTCGAATTATTCTTGCCTTAATTGTTGAGTGAGAATCGGTTCCTGATAGCTAATTGGGTACTGATAATGAAGAAATTTCTTTTACAGACATCTATGTTTTAGTTTTGGGTGGAGGTGGAGGTGTTATTTCATAAAAGTCAAGTGAAGGTGCTATTTCATAAAATCATTGGTCTTGAGTGCAGGTCGACCGATATACCACTGTGGGCAAAGACTTCATCACCAATATTTTTTGCAAAGACTTTTAAGTAGCAATTGGAGTAGCTAAAAATAGCAACTACAATGACAAAAGAGACATGTACTTTATTATTGGGATAAGAATTTGTCTTGTATTAATTATGCTAGTGGTGATACTTAATTCTAGATGTTTTAATTATTTGATTTTCTTACTTTAGTAGTTTGATAATTTCAATCCTATTTTTATTAATTCACTACTTATAATTCATAATTCACAGCAGCTCACCTTCTCGGAGGACGAGTTAAGGTTTTATTATTTTTGATAGGTGTGCTACCGCCTATCATATTCCTTCATGATAAGACTTGGATACAATTACAGCTGGAAAAAACTGACACGACACGACAACACGACACAAACCAAACACGAAAAAAACGGGTTAGTGTCGGGGGTTTTCAGCATATTTGATTAAACGGGTCAACACGGCACGACACGACACGTTTAATTAAACAGGTTAGATTAGTGTTGAGATTCTTAACACGAAATTAACACGACCCAACCCGCCTAATATAAAAACCCATTAATTTATGAAATTATTGATAAATATATTGAATAAAACCAATGTTTTTCAGTTCAACACGACACGAACCGAACATGAAAAAAGCGGGTTAGTTGAAGGGTTCAGACACGATTAATTAATTGGGTCAACACGACACAACACATTTATTAAATGGGTCGGGTAAGTTTTGACCTTCCCCAACCCGTTTAATTTCCGACACGAAAACGAACACAACACGACACGATTGTCAAGTCTAGATACAGTAGAGTTAGTTATTGAATGTTATTTCATTACTCTTCCATTATATATTGACTACATGTTGACTATGGAGTTTTAATAAAGGATCTAAACAAAACATTAGGCCATATAACTTTTTCATATCTTTTTCAAGGAATTTCATGCAAAAGTTAAGAGTGTTATGGATATAAAATTAATATATGTGTGATCTAAAAATGGTAGTGACTATAGAGATCAACTTAAATTATCAATTGCACCAATAATTTATGACAATTACGTATGTTTTATTTATACCACATTCTTCCAAAGAATGCTAGGTAAACATTATAAAAAGCCAACTGAGCTAGGTCAAATCTAGTCAAGCCCATTGCAATAGCCTGCCGAGACTTGGATCAGTTGCACTATCCATTCTAACATTAGGTCCAACAATGGTTATAGATTAGTGGATCAAAGATAGGAGTAAGCCTTGGCCCTCGCTTGCTTGGACCTAGTACAAACTAATAATGTCTACGGTTCAAACTTAAAAGTCATCCAGCTCGATAGAGATGCTCACAAAGGAAGTCAAGTGAAACATTTAGAGTAAATGTTATAAGCTTTGGGAGCTGATCATGAGCTTATTGTGTGTACTATGCTCAACTTATCATGTCGTATATATAATGATTTTTTTTCCAATCAACAATGAGATTTCTATAGCCTCTAAAATCAAATAAATACGACTAATAAAAGAATAAGGCATATAAACTGACCTGAGGGATCACTATTGCAAGATTTAGTACACCCATTGATAATCCTACAAAAGGGAATCATTAGTCTATGAAGTCATTGACTCATTGTACAGACAGAGAGAAAATATTACAAAATTTACCCTGGCCAAGCCCCAGAGACTCAATCCTGGAGGAAATTAGCGCATATGGAACACTATAAGTCACCTGCAATCAAAAAGCAAAAATTGCATCAAATTAATGCACATCCTACTGAGGCCAAATCAATCATACTATAAGTGATCTGCAATCTAGAGGAAAACATAACATTGAGTTACTGGCTTAGATCAATCTAAACTAGTTCAACAGCATAGTCACGGTAAGGTCGTTGCAAATACAAATATGTCCTAATATTCACGGAAAAGTGCCCAACCCCAACATTGCTCCTTTCTTCGATTACCTACCTTTTCTTCCTCCCTAGTTTATCTTATTCTTTGATCCTTTCCACCGTATATGTTCTTTTGCAATCTTTGTATAACATCCTAAGGGGGGTGTTTTGTTTTTGAAGAGGAAAGAGATACAACATCTTCACCAGTTCTGCACAAGATGATTTGCTCATTTGCCCAGATGACCCACAGGAGCAAATCCGATTTTGCTCATTTACCGACATGAGCAAATTGATTTTGCTCATTTACCGACATGAGCAAATCGATTTTGCCCTCATGAGCAAATCAATTTTTCTCATTTGCACAGATGAACAATTCGGTTTTGCTTTCATTCCCCATTACTTACAAACTTTCTCATAAAGCAAGTATAAAAATTAAGCGAAATGAACGAAAATTTTGCACATGAGCAAAATTTGCTCATATTATAAAAATGAGCAATTATGATAACCGGTAATAAACTGCAAGGTATTTCAAGTTGTATAATTAAAATTGCCGATACATGGACAATGGAGTGGAAAATCTCTAAGCTTCACATGTTTCTTATAAAAATAGGAAAGGGAAACTCTAATCAATCACTATCCACTACTACACTTCCATAAACATTAAACAACCACCACCATTTCAATCTACACTACCACTTCCTTTGCACTACCCTTCTCTCTTTTCCACCAAAACTCCTTTAACACTTTGTTCATGACAAATTTATATCTCTTTCCTCGTCTTAGATCCGGTGGTTAGGTAGATGTCAGCAATAGTTAAGGTTGTGGCTTTAATGTGGGTGGGGTTATAGTTTTGTGGTGGGTGAGGTAGTTTATAAGTTAGTTTGATTTATTTTGAGGAGTATTGGTTGGATTTGGATTTGTATTTGAATTGGTTGGGTGATTTTTGCAGTGGGTGGGATGGGACGATTTTCAAGGATGATTAGCGTATATTTCAAGGCTATTGGAGGTATTCAAGATGGTTGGGGTTGTATTGGGGTGGGTGTATTTTTTGCAATAGATATGATGGTTTTAGCCTTAGGAGGGTGGTTAGAGGTGGGTTGCAAGCAGTAGGGTGGTACTTTGGGAAGGTGGGTTCAAGCAATAGTGAGGTATAATGCAGGCGATCAAAGAAGCGGTCAAACATGGTTTATGGGAAGGGGGGTGATCATGATATAAGGGAAAAAAGTATAGTAGCATAACTAACAACTAAAAAAGGAAAGCAAAGGCAGTGTTTCCTAAACATTTTTTGAAGACCCCAAACCAAACACCCCCTAATTGTTACAATTTGATGCCACCACTCCACACAATTGTCACAGAAGCATATGTTCACCAACAAGAAAATCCAAGTTCTTAAACTGCGTAGGACAAATTAAGTAATTTATCTGCAAAGCTGCCCATAATTTTCCCCATAACAGGACCCCTTATTTTCTCCTGGTTCCCAAAATCTTCCTATTAAACCCTAATTTTTTCATACAATAGTTAGGAATAAAAAAGCTTACTCAGCTGACGAATTGTAATAATGCTTTTTTTCTGAACATAACGTGCACACACTAACTCACACATACACATGTAAAGTAACTTACCGCCAATGGCATACCCAGAATCGTGAAAACAGTCACTGCAGCAATAACAGCACCATTTGGGGGACCTGCAGAACCAGTGGAATCTACTTTGCTTACTACAAATGCTATAACAAGCATCGCAACAAAGCACAAGGACATAACAATGTTTGATACGCCCCATAAAATTCCAGAACCCAACTTCCTGCAGAGCTTTTCCATCAATACTGAAGTTATACCCAGAATGACTGACTGCAACATTAGGCCAAGAGCACCTGTACTAACTCCTTGATGGTAAAGTTTACCTTCATCTGGATCACCACCATAAACCTCACGACCCATCCAGTCAGTGTCAAAGAGAAGGAAGGGAAACCACCCGACCCAAGTCAGTGCGGTAACTGAAAGGATCAACCAAACTGATCCAGGAAGGTATCTGAAAGTTCCAAATAGCTCCCAAAAGAAGGCCTCTTGTTCATGGCTAGATGGCTGAGATCCTTCAGCCACGTTGGTACCTTCACTCCTGACTATCAATGGAACTTCGTGGGCAGCCGTGATACTTATATATGTCGTTATAACAATAAAAATTATATCAATGAGGAAAGCTGACTTTAGATTGGCACAACTTTCACTGCAAGCATAAGTTAGTGTGAATGGAAAAATAGTGAACCAACTAGTGTATGAGCCTGTAGCAAACCCAAGGACATTGCCAATAGCCATAAACAAAGAGTAGTATGCATTTGCCACTCTGTTTCTTCTATGATCCTTTCCTAATACAAGTAACAATAATACAAGACAATATATTAGCGTCTACACATATTTATGATGACATCTACATCTAGTAGATCAGTAGAAAAGTAAACAATCAAAACTTTCAATAAACAAATTATAAATCCTACAGCCACTTAATTATCCTATATATAGGGCAGCCACAATATAAATTTAGTGAGCAGAAGAAAACCAAAAACATTTAACTTAAATAAACAGTTCTCCGGTTTTATACTCTAACAAATTTCGCATTAATAATGGGTACCCAATTCCATACCCGGAACCGGTGAGGACCCACCAGATCTAAAATCAGAACCGAAACTGGTGGTACCAATTCCAAATCTCAAAATTGGGACCCGATCATCACTGGTTCCAATTCTGGTTCTTAAATTTAAAAAACCGGTACCCACGGACCTGGTTGAACTGTTTGCAAGTGAACTAGACCTGTCAAGCCCACTTTTATACAATGTATAAAAATTAATTAGACTTGAGCAAAAAGAAACCAATGGCCAAATCCTTACATTAACAGATAAAGTCCAAGCCCATCCCTCACATGCTAGTACATGTATAGTTGTAATTTTGCAAATAATCAACCCTAAATGGTTTAAGATCTCTCACTCACTTTCCCTCTCTTAGATACCAGCTAGCAGACATAGCCACCACAAAAGGCTAGTTCGCAATTACCATTTGCTATGCTTCCCAACTACAATAATAGATTTTCTTCCCTCAATACACTTCAAATTGAGTATGTTTCTTAATATCTCAAATCTGATTTTCATGCATATTCCGCTGCCGTGTGGAAAGTTAGATTCTTGGACCCTTCACTAACAATCTTCATATTAATTTCTTCTCGATTTTTTTATACTTTTATGTGAGGCCTCTCTTGGTTCATATTCTGTAGATTGTTTGAAATTCTCCTAAATTTTGGGGTTTGAAGCTTTTGTTTTGGATGATTTGTTTTCGTTTTTTAAGATTGATCAATTTCTTAATTTATTTGAACCGGTTTCCAACGGTTTTGGGACCGGTTCCTTGTTTGCTGGACCCGGTTAGGAGTGGTTCCGATTCCGGTCTCGGTTCTGGTTTTTAGGAATCAGCTCTAATCAGTTCCAGCCTTTTGGGACAAGTTCCAGCAAATCCAACCGGGTACCCGGTTCTGCTCATAGGCCCTGCTTGTAGAAAAAAATTAGAACTCTTGGAATGCTTCCCTCTTTAGACGTATGTTTCCACTTTCCAAGAAATGTGACAGACAAGATCCTCGTACTTAATATTACTAATAGGACTTGATTCTAATAGCATAAAAGAAGAGGACTAATATTACTAATAAGACTTTATTCTAATAGCCTAAAAGAAGAGGACTACAAATGGTTTTCTTCTACAACAGGATCTTATCCATTTAAAACCATGATATGCCTGGTTATCTTTAAACAAGGTAATCTCTTTGCTAATGCCAGATTGTGGCAGACTTCAAACGATAAGGGCGTTTGAGATCCTGCCAAAATAGAAGTACTTCATTTGGAAAATAATCAATGAGGCTCTTCAAACCAAGGTCAACTCAAGGAAGGGTATGAATGTAAATAGTAGCAGTGTTTAGCGAGGGAGACAGCATCTCTCCAGGAATTACAGAGTAAGGTCATCCATATATCTTGTTAACTTCACTTGCGATGCAAACAAAATATGAATGGGTTTTTGGACTAAATGTTGTGCCAATACGTCTTGAATCTTTAAGGTTGGCAGGCTTTATCACCTTGCAGGTTTGCCAGCATGGAGTTATTTTTAGGCCATTTAGTCCACTGAGATAATCTGCATTTAGAAAAATTTCCTTAACCAACTTGTTATAAAACAACCTGGCTATCATTTCAATGCCATGAGTTTGATTTATGAGAGGAATGTGAAGTTGTTAGAGATGTTGAAGATAACAAATCAGTTCGGAAAGGTTCTAATGAATGATTACATTAACTGGGTTATAGAGGTCGGTGGTTCATAGAATGGCAGTGGCAAGGGCGGAAAGGTGGGAACTTCAGTCAGGCATTGATCAAGTATCAGAAAAGAATCAAGATTATATTCCTATTATTCGTGCAGAGCACTATAGCAGAGATCCTGCCACAGATATTTATTACATCCTCAGAGCTATTGGTAGTATTGCTTCTTATAAACATTGTTTTATTAATTAATAAGATAAAAGTAAGCCTGCTTTAGCTCATGTTTTACTGGTAACCACAGAATTGATAAAATGGACATTATGTTAAAACAAAAGATAGGGAATTCAATTCAAGCCTATCAATACTTGTTGCATGAAACCAGAATGCAGGTGGTGTTGATGATCATATAGATGATCAAGATGCCACGTCAGATGATGAGTAAGCAGGTTTTTAGAATTCTGTTATAACAGAATATTGTTTCGTAATGAGTTAGTGAGTTTGTTATAACTAACTCAACTATATATAGCTGTAATATTCCTACAGTTCATTTTGCTTACTTGTTCAATAATATTCCTCTCTTCTCTCTATTTTCTCTCTCTATTCAAGTGTTCTTCATCCTTCTTTACTGTAAATTCAATATGGTATCAAAGGAGGAAGTTGAAGTTCTTTGATTCTGCAATCTTTTACAGTGAATCCATCCAGTTTACAGAAGATATATTCTGCATGTTTACAGAAGAAATGGGATTATGCATCAGAAATCTTGTGCTGACACTCCACAACAAAATGGAGTTGTGGAGAGAAAGCATGGACACTTGCTAGAAACTGCAAGGGCATTATATATTCAGTCAAGAGTTCCAGTAAGGTTTTGGGGAGATTGTTTGTTAACTGCAACTCATGTGATCAATAGAATGCCATTGAGTTCAGTATACTTTGCATCACCATATGAGCTGTTGAATGGGAAGAAACCTGATTTGAGTCATTTGAAGGTATTTGGGTGTTTGTGTTACATTTCTACCTTGAAAGTGGGCAAAACAAAATTTGATTAAAGGTTTTCTCTATGTGTGCTATTGGGTTATCCACCAGATCAAAAGGCTTATACAGTATTTGATCTGGAAGCTAAAAGAGTGGTTGTATCTAGAGATATAATCTTCTATGAGAGGCACCTTCCTTTCCATTATGAAACACAAAATAACACCACAAAACATCCCATTTTCTTACCTATTAATACTCCTTTTGATCTGGATACAAAATATATGATCCCAGAACCTTTTCAAATACATTCCGAGACTTTAACTTCAGAAAATGCTGAATCCAGACAATTTATGTGGTTAATGATCAGTCTATTCCTTTATCCACCCCAACAACAGAATCAGAACCTCTTTGTGCTCCTATTATTCATCCTATAAGCCACCCTACAGAAGTGAGACAATCAGACAGACCAAAGAAAAGACCAAGCTATCTGGGTAACTATGTGTGTGTAGTAATCATTGGTGCAATATTATTTGATGTGCTTCCTTCTCCTATGAACGTTTTGATAGACAAGACTGCAGTCATTTCAGAACCAGCAAGCTATTTAGAAGCATCTCAGGATGCAGGTTGGGTTGCAGCTATGAAGAAAGAGTTAAATGCCCTGATTTAGAATGAAACATGGGAGTTAGTATCTTTACCCAAGGATAAGAAGCCTATTGGATGCAAGTGGTTGATAAAGTGAAGCTTAAAGCAGATGGAAGCATAGAAAGACTGAAAGCAAGGCTGGTTGCTTATGGTTTCACACGGAAGTATGGAGGGGATTACTTAGAAACTTTTTTCTCCAGTTGTAAAGATGGCAACTATGAGGTGCTTGTTAGTTATTGCAGCAAGTAGAAAGTGGAATATGTATCAACTGGATATCAACAATGCATTCCTGCATGGAGATCTTACTGAGGAAGTTTACATGAGAGTTGCTCAAGGTGTTGCAAATCCAAGTAATCTAGTCTGCAGACTTAAGAAGTCACTCTATGGTCTGAAGCAAGCTTCGACAGTGGTTTGCTAAGCTAAACACTGAATTACAGAAGATGAATTATCAACAATCAAAGAATGATTATTCATTGTTCGTTAAGAAGTTGAATGGACAGATCACTATTACAATGGTGTATGTGGATGATATAATAGTGACAAGATCTGATGAAACAGATTTAAGATGGTTCAAGGAACATTTGCACTCAGTTTTCAGCATCAAAGATCTAGGAGTAATGAATTATTTCTTGGGTATAGAAGTTAGTCATTTGAGACTGGCATAGTGATGACACAAAAGAATTACTTTTGGATTGCAACATGGATGCTTCTAAAGCTGCAAAGACTCCTTTACCAGCAAATGTGAAGCTTATGGCAGATGAGGGTACATTCTGATCCTGAGCATTACAGAGATATGTATAGACTTTAAGTCAATTTATGCAGCAGCCAAGGTTATCTCATGTGAAGGCTTTACACCGTGTACTGAGATATGTCTCACATACTTTGGGTCAAGGAATTATCTTATATGCTATTGGTTAGCTAACACCGGCAGCAGCATGTCCTAATACAAGGAGATAGTGACAACGTATGTGTTGCTTTTGGGTAAATCACCCGTTTCTGGAAGTCAAAGAAACAGTCTACCATTTCAAGAAGCTTGAGTGAAGCCGAGTATAGAGCCATGGCTGCCGCAGCTTCAGAAACCACTTGGTTGGTCAGATTGCTTACAGAGTTGGTGTTTTGAGCTTGCAGCCGGTTGCCTTGCATTGTGACAATCAGAGTGCTATTCACATAGGCAAAAACCATGTGTTTCATGAACGCACAAAACACATTGAATTGGACTGCCACTTCACTAGAGATAAAGTACTAGAAGGGCCGATTGAACTGACATATACTCCTACAGCGGAGCAATTGGCAGATATCACAACTAAACTTTGGGTTCAACTCAGTAAAACAAGCTTAAGCCCAAGCTAGGAATGAATTTTGATACAGTTCCTAGCTTGCAAGGGGATGTTGATGATCATATAGATGATCAAGATGCCACATCAGATGATGAGTAAGAGTAAGCAGGTTGTTAGAATTCTGTTATAACAGAATATTGTTTTGTAATGAGTTAGTGAGTTTGTAATAACTAACTCAGCTTTATATAGCTGTAATATTCCCACAGTTCATTTTGCTTACTTGATCAATAATATTCCTCTCTTCTTCTATCTATTTTTTCTCTCTAATCAAGTGTTCTTCATCCTTCTTCACTGTAAATTCAATAGGTGGCAAGTTGGCAATAGCATTTCACATAATTCTACCAAGAGAACATACCAGCTTTCTAAAACATAATCAAGCATCATATACTTCAACCAGTCACTTCTGAGTTCTGAATGTGAATGTGTTTGGCTGAGGGGAAAATTTATTTCCAACATTCTCTTTTGTTTGGTTCGTGAAAGAGAATGATTTCCTTGGATTAAGGAGTGCCTCATTTTCCACATCATGCCTAGCTTGAGTTAGGCTCCAACTTCCATCCCACCTCCCCACCCTAAACAATTTTCTTATTACTTATTATTTAACATTAAAAAAACGAAGTTTGAAAGCTGAATTCTATTGAAAATAATTTTCTATGAAACACAAACTCAAATGGAAATAAACAGTCTAACTAATAAAAGTTTCTTAGACAACTAACAATTTCGTAAGCTTCGCAAAACATCAAGTAATATGACATCTACATGAAGAAATAGACCTATTTTTTACATCAACATATCAAAAACATAATCATCTCGAAAGAAATTTATAAATATACGATTTTTCGTCTATTACTAAAAATCTAAAATAAAATACTTGTATCAACTTAATTTCTACAGGACCTGATTCTTTTTTATAAGCTAAAATGACTAAAATTGATTCCATATATCAACTTTCACAGCTACAGTACTACCTAATCATGTTTAAATAAAAATCTAATAACAAGTCTTGTGTTTCCTCATGAGACACCCTCACATGAATTAACTATTAAAAAAAATTAAAAAAAAAAAAAAAACCCCATGAGACACCCTCACATAAATTAACTAGATTAGCCTCGTGCGATGCACAGTTTGAACAAATAAAATTTCATAAAATTGTTTATAATTTCATACCAAAATTTTTTTTAAAATAAACCTAAAATAAATAATACATCAAATATTTAAAATAAAAAATAGAGCTCATAGAAAAATTGAATGATGAAAGGGGTACTGAGAAGAAAAATTAATTTACTATTGTTAGACAGAATACACTGGGTATGGAATATATAGAGAAAGAGGAAACATAGAAAACTATAAAGCCTAGGAATTGGTAAGTTAGGCATGAAAACTAAACATTTTTTTTTCGGAAATTGATAATAATAATAATAATAATATAGCTGCCATAATTTTTATAAAATCTATTAACTAATTACTAAAATAAAACGTTGTTGATATCATCACTGTTCACATGTCACTCTCGTAATAAATTTTTTTCCCGCCTAAATGTAAGGATGATGACATTTTTTTTTTTTTGGAGCTACCATATTTAACAATCTTGAAATTTAAATATTAGAAGCTTGTACATTACAACTAAAACATATCAATTTATCCTTAAAAAATGAAACAATTGTAAAGTTCAAAAAAGTAGATAGCACACTAATAAATGGAATCCTACATTGAAATATGTATTAGGCGACGTTAAACAGGTATTATATCAGATTTATCCATTTTTTTAAATGTACAAATTATAAAAATAGATTTTATATAAATCGTGCATCGCACGGTTTCTAACCTAGTATAATAATATAAAATGATGACATCATATATAGTGTTAGAGGGAAAACTATTAATTTCAACATGACATGTGTACAAATTTAGGATAGGATGATGTTAGCGGTTGTTATTTTAGTACTTGTATATTAGTTGATTTTAAAAAGAGTTACATTATTTGTCATTATCAGTCTATCAATTTGAAACACAACATAACTACATAAGCCTAGATAATCCCAATTTAGAATTATCTTCATTCTAACGTAGTATTAAATTAAACATAATTCACATGTCACCATCAATTTGACTAACAAATCCAATTTGAAGGGGCATAACCATCTTTCCAACTATTACATAATCAAACCCTTTTGATAGTGATTTTAGAGCATCCACAATGGTTGTGCACCTGCTAGCAATTTCTAAATAATTGCTAGCTACATGCTAGCCATTGTGAAGCTACAACCTCTTGTAGCTAAGCCAAACTACATAGCTCTTTTCACTCCACCTAATGCTATTATATTTATTTGTTTAATATAATGTATATTTATTTATTTTATGTCATAACATGGGACATAATAAAATTACAAAAGAAGTAGTTTGTCATTGTTGAGGTTGTAGCTTAAATCATGTAGCTCGAGAAATAATGATGCGGCAACCCTTAGCTACACGTACATGTAGCTAGCCATTGTGGATGCTCTTAATACGCTAGTAGTATCTCTTACTTTAAATTAAAAGATAATTAACAAAAATATTAAGCTTTAAGCCTTAACATAAGTGCATTATCAAGCATTGCCCAAATTTATTATAAAACTCCAATATTAAAACAAAAACAAACAAAAAAAACAATATTTTTCTGATTTTCGAATATTAAAAAAAATAAAAAAAAACATATTCGATAATAAAGATTTTTTCTTAAAAAATAATTTTCACAAAATAAAAAGAATATTTTTTAAAAAAATTAGGCAAAAGGCGGAAAAAGGCAACGTTCCCCGCCACCTCTCTCCCCTATGATATGCTGCCACTCAAAACAACATAAACCAACATTCGTCTCACTCATACTTTCCAGTTTTTTCTTCTTTTTCATTTAAATTAAAAATCAAACAAGAACCCTAGAAATTCAACAGTAAAAATAAAAAAATAAACATACTCAAAAAAATGAAAATTTCAAAGAAATATTGGGAAAAAAATACCAGTAAGATCAGCAAGAAGAGCTCTACAAGGACCTTGAGTAGTATTATTAGCAACATCAAGCAACCAAAACCCGATAACAAACGCAACAATCGCCATCGGACGCTTCCGGTTTTTTGCATCCACTTTATCACCCATCAAATACCCAATATCAGCAGAAAATCCAACAATTGTAACGGCAAGAATGATCAACACCGCCCCGATAAATATAAAAGGGCGACGACGTCCGAACCGGTTGGTGGACCGGTCGCTAAGATGACCCACTAAAGGCTGAACAAAAAACCCCGAAATAGGACCACACAACCAAATGATACTCGCGAAAGCGTGAGGAATTCCGAGCTCTTGAACGTAAGGTGTTAGGAGTGAGAGTTGTAGGGCCCATCCGAATTGGATTCCGCCTGCTACGGAGGTTACTTTGAGGAGTTTCGTGAGTGGGACTCGGGCTAGTGGTGGTTGTGGTGGTGGTCTTGGTCGATTTGATGGTCGGGTTGTGGTAGTGTTTATGGGTCGGATTCTGCGACCCGGTTCGGTTGGTGGCGGGTCTTTTTTTTCTCTGATTATTTCGGTTTTATTTTCATGGTGGGTTTCCATTTTTGGTTTTTTTTTTTTTGAGTAAAGAAGTGAGGAAAATGGAGAGTTTGAGAGAGGGAGAAAAAGGTGAGAAAGAAAGAATATGGGGAAGCGTAGAGGATGATGTAGACTTGCATTTTGGGAAGGGGGAAAGGTGGGGCCAGAGTGGGGTGGGGTGCGCTTTTGCTGGAAAGTGGAAGTGGATGATGCTTATTGCCTTAAGCGAAATTACGGAAAGTTTAATACAGGAGAAATTTGATGAAGTTGTATGATTGATTGGGGTTAATGTTAATTGGATAACTTCAAGGTTGTGGTTCTTTTAATTGTTCTAACGTAAAATCGATTCAAAACATGTTCTGTTCACCTAAAACAAGGACATCTGGTGTAGTCTAATCTGATTTAATAATTTGATTAATTTTTAACCGTATTTTAATACTAATGTATAAAGAAAAACATTATCAAACTGGATCTTGTTAGATTCGTCTTATTATAAACTTTGTATTTTTAGACTTTTTGTTTGTTATTTTAAGTTTATAATAATGATTTCTCTCTCGGAAAAAGATTTTTCGATCTCAAAAGACTTGGATTTTTCGATCTCATTCGAAAGACAAAGTTTTTCGATCTCCTTCGAAAGACCGGGTTTTTCTCTTCTTTTCGAGGGTGAATTTCTTTAGCTTTAAATCTGGGATAATAGATCTAATGGATTGCCGTAAAATTATTTCGTTGGTGAAAAATTATGTGGGGTAGAAAAGGTTATCAAATTTTCAAATACAAGAATCCGATGATCCTCACAACTTCGAGGGATTGTTAGATTGTCTCTCTAACAAGGTTCTATTCTCTAACGATATAAGCAGGAGATGTCCTACATTGCAAGATTTGCTTGACGATCGTAGTTTTTATGAAGGTAATTTTTATTTGATTCAAATTATGTATTTGTTAAATTCGATAATCTTTGTAGATATCATATGACTTTTATTAATGAATTAATTTTACTATTCAAAAAACAAATAAATGATATTAAAAGTTTTGATATGATCAAATATGAATGTTTCTGGTCTTGTCTGATCTGATATGAATTTATTAAGAAATAAGTAATAAGTATTTGAAACAAGTTGAAGAGAACAAGTCCTCATTAATAAAAGGAGGGAGTATAGTTGTAATGTTCTTTTTTTAAAAGCTCGACTAATTTTTTCATTTATTTCAATCTATTTTTTAAAAAAAAAAAATCAATTTTAATCTATTTCTTGTTTAGAAATTGGTGTGTCATGTCAGGGAAACTGGCGAAATAGTGAATAAGGTGGTATGTTTGTATATATATATATACATAAGTGTGTGTGTAAATATACACTAGTAGAAAAAATGACAAAGGCACCCCACCTTTGGCACCGGTTTTTGAAAACTGGTGGTTAAAAAAACGGGCGGGATTGGAAAACAAGCTTTTGGCACCAGTTCCAGCCAAACCGGTGGCAAATTATCTTTTTGGCACCGGTTCAAACCGGTGCCAAGTAAAAAAGATATTTTTTTTAAAAAAAAAAGGGAGAAAGGGATTTTGCACCGGTTCGGTTCGAACCGGTGCGAAATCTATTGTAAAATAAAAAAAACCGGATATACTCTTTCTTTCTCTTGCTTTCATTTCCTCGATCTTTCCTCCTCTCTCATCTGATCTGCCTCTCTCTCTCCTCCATTGAAGCGTACTCGAATTTCTCCATTGAAGGGGCTTCTGAGCTTTCTCTCAACACTTTTCTCAAACTCCTTCTCTCTCCTTCGATCTCTATAACCACCACTTTCCCTTTCCTTTCATCTCTCTTTCGATCTCCTTCTCCTTCTCTCTTTGAGGTTAGGGTTTCTGGGTGCGTCTATTTTGAATCAATTCGATGTGCGTGTGTCTTCAACAACAACAAATTCGAATCAATTTCGAACCAAAAATCAGAAATTCGAGGTTAGGGTTTTTGGGTTATTTAGCTTTGCGTTATATTGTAGCAGTTCTGAGCTTTCTCCTCCATTGAAACAACTTCTGAGGTAATGTTTTTTAATCAATGAAGTTTTTTAATCAATGAATATCAATTTCACTAATTATTTGTGTTAGTATAGTTAATCTAGGGTTTTACCTTTGCTAAAATTGTGCTATTGGCTTGTTTATTTAGGGTTTGATACGACTTGCTGGATTCTCTCTTCTGCTCGATTATCTGTTGAGTAATCACCCAAATCAAAAGTTTCAGGTATCAATTTTATTATTATATGATGAGTTTCAGGTGTCAAATTCTTAGTTGTATTCTTTGATTGAACTAGTATTATGAATTGATTGATTGATTTAAGGTTTGGAGGAATGTAGTTTTTTGGACGGACGTCTATGATGTTGATGAACAGATAAAGTTATAATTTTTCAAAATAGTTATGTATTTTGGATTGGCTTAAAAGAGATAGTACATTGAAGATTGGCTTAAATGTATATTTTTATGAATATTTGAGTATAGAATTTCACTCCTACAGGCTACAACCTTTCATTTCTCTGCTAACGGTTGTTATTGTGTTTAAAGTCGATGTAGAAAACAACATTTCGCTTTGTTCTTGTTCTGGATACTGTTTGCCTCAATTCTCATTGTTTTGTTTGATTGGATGTTTGATTGTTTCAGTTTTAATTTGGATGTTTGATTGTTTGTTTTGGTGAGGATTAGCTGGGTTTGAATTTAGGGTTTTATTAGTGAATTTAGTAATTAGACCCAATATCATTTTTTGATGAATTTGTTGAACTGGAAATTAGGGTTGGATTTAGCTGATTTTTGCTAGAGACCAGTAACTGATTTTGGCTTGTTCAGCCTCCTGCAGTCCTGCTTTTCAAAGTTTAGCTTTTGAGATTTGAGAATAATGATGAAAAAGTAATAAGGATGATGAAAAAGTAAAGTTTGCACATATGCTTATTTTGGTGGACTTATGGTTACTGTTTGTCTTGCAGTTTTCTAAGGATGGTGTGAAGTATATTGAAGAGATAAAAATGAGAGTGAACCTTGTTATCTCAACTCCACCATCTCCAGAGTTGTTACCCCTCAATGGAACAGTGAAACAGGTAACAATTTTTGACATTTGAAGTTTCTGGTTACATTGACTTATTTTTGATATGTTATGCCCCCTGAATATTGATAGCAAGTTTCATTTTATTGATCTTTTAAATATCAAGATGTTTAGCAAGAATTTGGTGGTGTTTATTCCCCCTTTTTTTTATGTTGCTGGTTGATGATCATGTTGAGTCTAAAACAGTAAACCAGGAGGATTTGAAGCCAGTTACAATCCATAAGGATGTTCCTCGATCTCAAGATGTAAAATCAGAACCAATTAAGCAGGTGACTCTAGTTTGAAGAAAGATTTTGAGAATCCTGGGCGAGAGTTTCTGCTCCATGTTTCTTTTATTAAGTTTTCTGGTTCAAGTATTTATTTCGGGGTTTACTTATGAGTAAAATTGTATTTAATTGAATCCTGTGATTTCAGATTATCAATGATTTGCTTAATCCAACCGGTCAGAATCTACGTGTAAGAGAAGATGCCCAGGTTTGTGTTGGTTTCAGTTATTGGCTAGAATATAATCTTTCCATATTATGACTGTTTTTGGCTCTTAGTGTTATGTCTTTGCTGCTGCTCCATTATTTTACTACATTTATTGGAATCATTAGCTGGTTCGTCGTCCATTTGAGACGATCTCAGTAATCTAAAGTGGCTTATAAAAATCTCTCTAAGTAAGACCAAGATTCTCACAGCTGGTACATTTCTGATCTATAATTTGGTGTATGAAAACCATATGAGGTATCTTTAGTAACCTTCTTGAAGATATGAAGTGAGGCTGCTTCAAGTATGTAATGTAAGTTTAAATGTTTGTTATAGGTAATTGAACGGAAGGGCCTTGATATGGTGCATTGTGATTGGAGCTTGTTATCAAAGGAAGTTGGGGACTACTGCTTGAGTCCGATACTTTCTAGAGGGTATAGTTGTGCTTCTATCTTGCGTCAAGAATTCCTTTTATTTTTTCCTCTTCTGATTTTTGATATTATATTATTCTAATAGCAAAAAACAGAATGATTGCACCTTTATAGAGTTTTAAGGTATTAGCCTAAATTATGCTTTTCCTTCCTTGCAGATCCCGTGGAGTCGATACATAGTTATCTTATGAAGGTAATAGAAATACCTAATTTTTTGTAGGCCAGTGTTTAAATAACGAAAATAGGAATTGATCTTCCAGATTCACTACTGCATTGACATAATTTGAATGCGTCACTCTTGAAACTTAATCTTTTACTCTCAATGGGAATATGTCTTGTAAATTTGTCATCATTTTTTGTATGTTAGATATAGTCGCAATAATTTATACAAACATCTTTCAGGAATCATGACATATGATGGTCTCGAGAGTTGCATTTTGAACAGTCGACTGTACACAAGTAAGAATTCAATCTGCGGGGAGAATGATTGTCCAGCAGACTCTTTTAATGGAGGAGAAACCAGCTGCTCATCAAGCAAAGATGCTTTCGGTTGTTCGGATCTTTCTTTTCTGATAGGATTATGAAGAGGAACCATGAAGAAACAAATGAGTGGAGTATCCCAGAAAGCCGAGAACATATTTTGGTAAGTAAATTTTTAAGCTTGTTTTGCTTGTCTGTTTTTGGTTCTGTGATCTTAATTTATCTTCTGCATTTTCTGTCAGGTTCCTTTGCACCAGATGCATAGATGGATGCAGTCAAGTCTTATTTAGGAATTGCTACTGCCTCTTATCTTTGATTGTGTAGTTTTTTTTTCAGTTTTTTAAAGTGTAATATTACAAGTTATTGAACAAAATATATGTGTTTTATGTATATTATGATTATATATAAGTATTTGGTACAATTTAAGTGAAAAAAATGCAAAAAAAAAAAAAAAAAAATTAAATTTTTTTGGGCATTTTTGGCACCAGTTTTGGAAAAGAATCGGTGCTAAAAGTTTTTTTTAAAATTTTTTTTGGGGACTTTTGACACCGGTTCTAAGTCAAAACCGGTGCCTATTGTATTGAAATAAAATAAAATAAAAAGCGCCATGGGTAATTGGCACCGATTAACCGGTGCCAAAGAGGGTATTTAGGACCGGTTAACCAGTGTCAAATCTTTAAATAGCCACCGGTTTTGAACCGGTGCCAAATCTTCAGAGATTTGGCATCCCTCAAACACTGAACGGTTCAAAAGCGGTGCCCATAGGGTGGTTTGAACCGGTGCCTATTTATGTTTTTCGCCTAGTGATATTTCGGATATTCCTAATGATTAGCTATGGGTTTCGGATTTTCCTAGTGAGGAAAATCTGATTTTCTAAGTTAAATTATTTAGTGAATAATTGGTATTTTGTTAATTAATTATTTTATACAATATATATTATTTACACAATCATTTTTAATCCTTAAAATCTACACAAGAGGTCCGAAAATTTGAGCTATGGAAAGCTCAAAATTTTCGGCCATTTGGATTGAATTTGAGCAATTTATGGATATTATATTGATGAGTTCTATGATATAATGAAAT